AACAGATTCTACTCAAGGAAAATCACTAAAGATTACACACCATTGAGAGAGATTAAGAAATCAAATGAGAAGATTTGATTTCTGCAGAGAAGAAGAGAAAACATGAGAGAACGATTCAACTATAAGAGAGAAAAATGGAAGACTCTCGAAGAAGCAGATCACGAACTCAAACCCTAGAAGCCCTTTTAAATGGTTCACACAACATTCGCCAATCCAACGGCGTTGGAGGCGACACGTGGTGACTCCATAGGCATTCATTTCATCAGGTAAGTGAGAAACGCGATTTCATCTTCAAAGTACACGTTTTCTAGCACCAAACAGAATAAACAAGTAACTGGGCCTCCAAAGATTTCCTGCTGGGCTGACTCATTTAGCCATTGGGTATTAGCATCATTGTGCCATTTTCCCTTCATTACCAAATTATATTTTATTTAATGCATGCTTTACTTGTAAATATAAGTAAACCACAGGCAAACCCATGGTATACTAGGCTGCAGATGGGGATGATGGCTTATTGAAGGAACAACATTTTAATCACAGTGCTTGTGTGGCTAAGATTGCATCTCAGGGTGTTGTGGATGTGCACAAGATGCTATTTGTGACTGCAGATTATTTGACTAGAGGCAGTGATTTTGGAATTTTCACTCCTACGCATATGATTCTCTGAAGGAAGCCTGAATGTAAGTTCGGTTCGAATTCAGATTAAGAGATGTAATGTAATGTGTAAGAATTGATCGACGATTGCATACGTCAATTTCGTGCATGCTTCATTGTTGCTTATCGGATTTAATTTAACAACTTTATCTTTTTCAGCTTAATAAGCGAGCTTTCTTAAAAAAATGAGATTCTCCAATTCGTCTAATTTTAGCGGAAAAGTAGATTGAACTGTCTTACTTTTTCTGGAAGAGAAAAATTACTGAAAAAGTTGACAATGGGCTCTAACTTACGTTAGAAAGTTTCTCAAATTAACTTTTCATCCTTTTTTCTATGTATGTACTATCTGTCTATCTTCCACTTGTGTCTTTGCTTTGATTAGTGTTGCATTACTTTTATCATTACATTGTGTTGGGGGCCTTGGGGCGCTATTTTTATGTGAAGTATCTATTAGAAAAATATAGAAAAGGACAAAAAAAAAATTAAAAAATTCTGCTTTATTGTAATTCTAACCACAATTTGTTATGGTTATTAAATACAAAAGTATCCAGCTTTTCGATTTAAAACTAGTTGGCTGAGTTGTAAGCCATGGTGGCATGTGGCTGTAGAATAGCTGTAATCGTCTTTACTTGATAAATTATTGATCGAACAGCACTACACGTAGGGGCCCACACTAATTAGAGAGGGCTGTAAAATTTACAGCCCTCTAATGACTGTACAAGTGGTTTTTTTGTTATTGATCGGACATTTGATGACTCATGTGAGGCCTGTCCGTGGTCCTTTCCATACACGAAGATATCAAATCTTGGCTAGAGAATTTACGTGGCTATGAGCGCTGAATTGAGCAGAAATGTCCTCCTGCCAATAGTGAAAATTCTTATCTTATTCATTTGGAGAAAACCTTAGTTCTCATATTAGAAGAGAATCGGAAGTAAGATTTTACTGCCACATCAGCAATCTATCCACTATGAAAAGAAGAATAATTTCTTTGAATTGATATAAAAAATTGTCATGTAAACAACTCAAGCATGGAACTCATTCCAGTGTAAGATTCATACTTGTGGGACTTATCTCCTTGATGTTGATCCAACCATCACCTTCCCGGGCCCAGTTTCTATTATTGTCCTAATCTTTGTGTACAAAGTAATGTTGTTCAATTTAAGTGACAACTGTATGATATTAAATGGTAAATTCATTTAAAAGCAACGTCACATGATTTATTTTATTAAATCTATTGAGTGTGATCATCAAAACTAGTGCTCTAACACCAGCATCATTAGTGTGTATATTGTCACAGAGTTCGTGAAGTGCTACGTTTGAGGAGTTGATTAACATAGTTTTTGTAGATATCTATGCTCTTACTTGGTTGATCTTATTTCTTACTCAATTAAATCAGTGCATGAGCATCATAATATCACCCTTGCCCATTTTTGGTGAATATTAGAGAGCATTATTTATCACATCTTATCATTTCTATTATTATAATACGATAAGTATCTCCAGCTTCGATGTTTCTTTTAATAATTTAATCGATTTCTCGTGTATTTTGCCTACATTTTAGTTTCGAGAATCTGCATCCATCCTGATATCAGAATATGACAAAACATTCGTGCCTATGTTTGTATCATGTATGTATTTGCATATATCTAGCTTTTGTATTGTGGAAATGACATATGTCTCGTGGCAAGTGCGTACAAAATGTGCTGCTTGTTTTTCTCTTTGGATAATGCTATTCATCTCATCCCGTCTATGTGACATTATCTAATGTAGTTGGATCTCCATCTAAACACAGTGTTCTACGCCACCGTAAAGTGGGTTGGAGGAGGTTGAATGGCCTCTATAGGCTGCCGTGAGAGCGGCGATACAAGGCAATGGTGAAGTTTGGCTGGTCGACAAAATTTGATAGTATTTTTTTAACGTTTTGCAATAAAGCTGGCACTAAAAGCTCCAACACAGAACAATCTAAACTGACCAGAGTTGAGAAAAGACAGCGGTTGAATTGCAGTTTCTGTTTGGCCCTCTTGGCTATTACCATCATTAAAGTTTAATTATCTTTTGTTGCTAGATAAATTTCTTTTCTTTTTTTAATTATCACGCCTGCATCTATTTTAATTACTCATAATCCTGGGCAAATTTCCGTTTGCAGTTACCTTTTCTATTAACTTCAGTTTGGTTTCAAATTTTCCTATTCTATTTCATTATATTACCTATGCAATTGAGGCAAATTGCTTATCTCGTACTTGATAGCCACACAGTAGTTGATCTTTCACATAATCATCATGCCACAAATTAGAAACAAAAATGATAAAAGGAGGATTATGACAATGCCTTTAGATTAAAAGGCGCGTGTCCTTAATATTTTAACACTTCTATAATGTTGTGTAATGGTAACTTGACATGTCACGCAACGATCATGCAAAAAATTTGTTGTGGCATTAGCTTACAATTGATTGTTTTTTATTAGTTGGAGAGACGACAAGTAATAGTGTTGTTTTTAGGGGTGACAAAATGGTCGAGTAGCTCGTCGGCTCGACTCGTCAAAGCTCGGCCCACGGACAGCTCGGACTCGTAAAAAATGTGAAGAAAAAAAAATGCTCGTGGACTTGTGGGCTCAGCTTGTGAGATTACGAGCTCGTGGGCCGAGCTCAATCGAACCTTGAACACGAGCCGAGCTCACGGGCCCATTACTACCACTAGTTGTTTTTGAAACTAAATTGAAATTCGATGACCCAATTGGAACTAAATTAAAACATAGTAATTTAATTGAGAAAAATTAAAGTTTACTAAATCAAAACTTAGTAATTCAATAGATATAAATTAAAATTTAATGATTTAATTTACTAAAATGATTTCAAGCCAGCGTAGAGAAAATTTACCCTTAAATCCCAAAAACAAATGAGAGAAAATATGTAATCGATTACATTAATAAATACCAACTTAAAATGTTTAATAGTTTCTTTGAAGCTCGTAATATATAAAAGTAATTATATTGTCCATGAAAATAAGTACATTTATCTGCTTCCATGAAGTTAATTAATGTGGTGGGCAAGGACCTATTAATTTTAAGTCAATCCAATTTGTAAGGAAGTGATTCCTCGAAGATTCCTTAGTTATTGCAAAAGCTAAGGAATAAAATCAGTTGCAAAGAGGAGCCTCAGTTACAGTTTTCTGGTCGAATCTTCAACAACTTGGAGCCTTTGTTGTTGGTAGTTAATAACTGAAATGGAGCCTCCTTTAGGCCTATAAATAGGAGCCTTAGGTAGTGTAAAGGAGAGAGATCGAAAATGTATGAATGAAGGGAGCTCGAGACAGAAAGGGGTGCTCTGGTAGAAGAGGAACTCTAGTAAAGAAGAGGCTTTTAAGAGTGAAATAGGGATAAAAAGTGAGATTGTATAAGAATGGTAGAATTCTTATAAATCTGGGAAAAAGTCTTTCTTGTATGATTTCAAGTGTGTAAATCATGTTTTAGCTTTGGTAATAAAGTGTTAGGAAGAGGTTTTCTTCCTGTTTATATTCTGTTTTTCTTGCTGGTTTATATCAGTCCTCTACGGGTAATTTTCACCTGTTTCTGCTGTCAGTTTTCTTGCAATTGCTGGTGCATTTTCTTTTTTGTAATTCTGCTTATTGAATGAAGTCATTAAATCCTAATAGTGGTATCAGAGCCGGGTTCCAATCTGCAGAGAGAAAAATTGAAGAGGTCTGAAGATTCTTTTGAAAAAAAAAAAAATTCTTGATAGTTGGCTGTGCAACTCGTGAAGGAAGATTACTGGCTAGGGTCTTTCTCTCACCATGTCTACATCCAAGTTTGGAGAAGAAAAGTTTGATGGTAAGAACGACTTCAACCTGAGAAGGCGACTTCAACCTGAGAAGGGAAAAGAAGATGGCTGCATCAAGAAACAAGAAATGGTTGAAGCAAGATGAAGACTTGGAAGAAGGTTTCTCTGAACTTGAAGGTCCAACTACCTCTGGTGCTATTCTAGAAGATAATGAGATCGTTGTTGCTAAGAAGGTATCTTCAAGAATCAAGGTAGAGATTGTAAGGAAGTGATTCCTTGAAGATTCCTTAGTTATTGCAAAAGCTAAGGAATAAAATTAGTTGCAAAGAGGAGCCTCAGTTACAGTTTTTCTGGTGGAATCTTCAACAACTTGGAGCCTTTGTTGTTGGTAGTTAATAATCGAAATGGAGCCTCCTTTAGGCCTATAAATAGGAGCCTTAGGTAGTGTAAAGGAGAGAGATCGAAAATGTATGAATGAAGGGAGCTCGAGACAGAAAGGGGTGCTCTGGTAGAAGAGGAACTCTAGTAAAGAAGAGGCTTTTAAGAGTGAAATAGGGATAAAAAGTGAGATTGTATAAGAATGGTAGAATTCTTATAAATCTGGGAAAAATTCTTTCTTGTATGATTTCAAGTGTGTAAATCACGTTTTAGCTTTGGTAATAAAGTGTTAGGAAGATGTTTTCTTCATGTTTATATTCTGTTTTTCTTGCTGGTTTATATCAGTTTTCTGCTGGTTATTTTCACATGTTTCTGCTGTCAATTTTCTTGCAATTGCTGGTGCATTTTCTTCTTTGTAATTCTGCTGATTGAACGAAGTCATTAAATCCCAACACAATTAATTAAGTTCCTTGTCGGAAGCGACAAAGATTCATTCCATTAAAAAAAAAAAAAAACACACACACACACACACACACCCAGCCTTCGGCCTGCCATAACAATATTCAATTTTTGAAAAATTAATGTTTGTAAAATTATTGAGTTATAATTAAACAGATTAATTAGTAAAAATACATTATCAATATAGATGATATTGAAATCAATCGTTGTTAATTTATGATTTTCACTAGGGCTGGTCAAAACTCTCTAATCGAATCGAACAGGACCCGAACCGAACTGAATCGAGCGGTTCTTCTTAAGTTAAATACTCAAATGGGTATTTGAATCGAGAACCGATAGGTTTGGTTTGTTTTTCGGTTCTAGACCAAGAATCGAATCTCTCGAATTTTTTTCATTTTTTATTTTAAATAAGTCAAATTATTTTTTTTTTATAAATGAATTTGTTAACTAATTAATTTAGCTCTAACGTAAAATATGATTTTACTATTTCTAATTTTCAGTCAACCCAACTTAATCAAATTGATCAAATTTTACCAAAATCTCTTATTCTACCGTAGTGTCGTTTCTGGCATTCTATTATTGTGAACTGATTATCTTCATCTTCTTGTGATTTTAACAATCAAATTTATCAAAAACTCAACAAAGAGATGCGCAAAAGATATCACCAGATTGGACTATATTATTTTGTAAGAGTTAATGTTGAACATGTCATAATCGAACTAATGTAGCATTGTTGTAAATATAAAAAAATTAATTATTATACGAAACTCGAGAACCGAACCAAATGAAACCGAACCAGAACGGTTCCATAATTAAATTTGGATCCGACGTTCCACTTGCTAAATACCAGAAAATTTTGGTCCGGTTCGATTCTGAAGAAACCATGTCCAATCCTACAGAAAAGAATAAGACTAGACCGAATCAAAAATTAGTTGTTTTTTTCTCCTTCAAGTTGGTTCCTTTTTTGCCAAAACTAGTACTATTTCAGTCTGATTCTCAAGAAACTTTGCCAAATAAATTTTGAGCTCCTGTTTTTGTATTTTGTCTCATAGTAAAATGCAAGTTGTTCTTTTTCCAATAGTAGAAAATCACCTCGTTTTTGGAAATAGTTGTCTCTTAGAGATATCCCAGAGAATGAACATGATTTAAGGAATATTAGAGACGTGTTTATAGCGACTTTGACATATTAACCAGATGTCATAGTCTTGAAGTTTCTTCAAAGCTTAGCTCTCCTTTTAGCTTTGAGTTTGCGTATTGAAATTCACCATTTTTAATGTTGTTTTCGTGACAACGTAGTTGTCTTGGACCATTGACATCAATTTTCTAATTTGATTTCTTTATAGGCTGCTTTCTTCTGGAAATGAAAAATTTAAAAGTCTCTAATCCATAATGATATAGACACATCAAATAAATTTACTAGACTAATGAGCTTTTTTGCCCTTTCTCTTTAACCGGGTCCACACGCAAGGAAATGCAAAATTAGAAGATTTTTCAATGTGCTTGAAATTCTTCATAACCTACCAAGACGGACACCGTATGGAATTGTCGTAAAATGACTTCCGAGCCACTATATTGTATTTTTCGATCGGGGCGTAGATTTTTCTTTTCCACATTTGGGACATATNATGAGCCATGCAACTCCAAATTTCCTTTGATCCTGGCGTGCGACCCGACAGTGATTGACAGCACGAATCTCGCACAAATCCACACATAAAAAGCCATTCTCCATTTCACTTTACTCTTAGTACTCACTTCAATATCTTTTCTCTACTCTCTTTCTCTTCCACCGATGGAGTTCTTTACTTTGTTCTGCACAGCCGTTCTTTTAGCGGGCGGCTTATACTGGTTTGTTTGCATTCTTGGCTCGGCCGAGCAAAAGGGCAAGCATGCCGTTCAGCTTTCCGGCGGCTCAATCGCCAAAGAAAACGTTCAAGATAATTACCAGCAGTACTGGTCGTTTTTCCGGAGACCCAAAGAAATCGAGAAGGCAGAAAAGGTGCCTGCTTTTGTGGATACATTTTATAATCTGGTAACAGATATTTATGAATGGGGCTGGGGTCAGTCTTTTCATTTTTCTCCTTCCATTCCTGGGAAATCGCATCGGGAGGCTACTCGTATACACGAGGAGATGGCGGTGGATCTGTTGAATGTAAAGCCTGGAGCTCGAATTCTTGATGCGGGTTGTGGAGTAGGTGGCCCGATGCGGGCTATTGCAGCCCACTCGGGAGCTAATGTAGTTGGGATTACCATAAATGAGTATCAGGTGAATCGGGCCCGGACTCACAACAAGAAGGCCGGTCTTGATAAGCAATGTGAGTTGGTGTGTGGTAATTTCCTCCAGATGCCTTTTGGCGACAATAGTTTTGACGGGGCTTATTCAATTGAGGCAACGTGCCATGCCCCAAAATTGGAGGAAGTGTACAGTGAGATCTATAGGGTTTTGAAACCTGGATCTTTATATGTATCTTATGAATGGGTGACAACTGAATTGTACAGTGGAGAAGACCCGGAGCACGTGGAGGTCATCCAGGGGATTGAGAGAGGAGATGCCTTACCAGGTCTTAGGAGTTACAAGGACATTGCTCAAGTTGCAAAGAAAGTTGGGTTTGAAGTGATTGAGGAAAAGGATTTGGCTAAACCACCGTCAAACCCGTGGTGGACAAGGCTGAAGATGGGGAGGATTGCCTATTGGAGGAACCATATTTTAGTCACAGTGCTTGCGTGGCTGGGGATTGCACCAAAAGGTGTTGTGGATGTGCACGAGATGCTTTTCGTGACTGCAGATTACCTGACCAGAGGTGGTGAGACTGGGATTTTCACTCCTATGCATATGATTCTCTGCAGGAAGCCCGATAGTAAGTCTGTTTCTAGTTCGGATTAAGAGATGCAATGTAAAGCATAGGAATTGATCTACGATTATGAAGGTCAATTTCGTGCCGTTTTCTTTTTGTTATTCGTGTTTTACTTCGTTGTTTATTGGATTTAATTTAACAGCTTTATCCGTTTTAACTTGATTGCTTGCTTTCATAGAAAGAAGTTCTTCATTCTGCTTAGTTTATTAATGATGTTGTCGGCTTGAAGTAGATTTGGCTTTCCTATTTTATGTCGTGAGAGGGAACGACACAGAAGTTTGACGTTGCCCTCTAACTTATGCTTTTTGTAGTGCAATGCAGCATTGAATGTCAAGTGAATTGGAATGTCGTTTTTTCTAATTCTTTCTGTTGTATGTGTTATTGCTTTATACCACTTGTGTCTTTGCTTTGAACTAAGTGTTGAATTATCTTAACTTTAACATTAGTGTTATGCCACTTCAGTCTTGCTTGGACTACGTCGATTGTGCATTTCATATGACGTTTCTCTCGTTTTTTTATCAAGACTGCTGCTTTATTGTAATTCTAACCACAATATTTAATTGTTATTATGTCTCCTAGTATCCAGTTTTTTAGAGTGAAAACTGTCTGGAATGGATTAGTTTATGGTTGAGTCGTAAGCAATGCTGGCCTCGGACTGTATAATAGCTGTAATCGTCTTTAATCGATAAATTATTGAGTGAACACGGCACATGATTTAGTTAGCTGTATGACTGTCCTTTACATTGGATGTCTCATGTGAGGTCTGTTCGTGGTCCTTCACTACTTTAGATGTCTGAGACAGCTTTTTAAAATATGAAGGGACAAAATGTATCCAGATTCATTCAGTTTTTTTAAGAATTTTGTCCTGTGTATCATGTAATAAGGATTATAGAACAAAAAAAATGTGGAATTTAGCATCCAACAATGTAGTAAAGGCTACAAATTTGCTGCTAGGTTTTAGTACCTCACATTTTCGACTAGATATACCACTTGTGTCTTTGCTTTGAACTAAGTGTTGAATTATCTTAACTTTAGCATTAGTGTTTTGCCACTTCAGTCTTGCTTGGACTACGTCGATTGTGCATTTCATATAAAGTTTCTCTCGTTTTTTTATCAAAACTGCTGCTTTATTGTAATTCTAACCACAATATTTAATTGTTATTATGTATCCTAGTATCCAGTTTTTTAGAGTGAAAACTGTCTGGATTGGATTAGTTTATGGTTGAGTCGTAAGCAATGCTGGCCTCGGACTGTATAATAGCTGTAATCCTCTTTAATCGATAAATTATTGAGTGAACACGGCACATGATTTAGTTAGCTGTATGACTGTCCATTACATTGGATGTCTCATGTGAGGTCTGTTCGTGGTCCTTCACTACTTTAGATGTCTCAGACAGCTTTTTAAAATATGAAGGGACAACATGTATCCAGATTCATTCAGTTTTTTAAGAATTTTGTCCTGTGTATCATGTAATAAGGATTATAGAACAAAAAAAATGTGGAATTTAGCATCCAACAATGTAGTAAAGGCTACAAATTTGCTGCTAGGTTTTAGTACCTCACATTTTCGACTAGACGAGTGTTCTGTGTTTGATTCATCGGGTATTGATCGTTACCAACAGAAAGTATGAGTGAAAAGGTTATACCCGAATGAACGGTTATTGAATCTGAAAATATTTTGCCTCCAACTGTGAGGTTAAATTGGTATATGCAAACCATTCCAGTAGTGTCGATTTAGACGTGCATTTAAAATATTATGTGAAAAACGAGCACGGATCTCGTTTCTAGCTAGTGTACATCCACACATGTGGTAGACATTTGATTCAGGTGGCAGGCTTGTGGATTTAATTTATTTGCAGATGAACTTCCTTCCTTTGATTAATATATTGATGAAGTTAGTTGGTGCATGTGCTATGCTTTTGAATAGTTGCTTTGCAGATCTCTAAGCGCTTATCTGTTGTGATTTATGCCTATCCAGCTCGCGTTTCTCTATTGATTTATGCATTTAATCAGTATCATGTCTTCTTCCTTTACAGACATTTGGCTATATTATAGAAAGCCTCGACATCGTCTAGCATTTCTAGTTATCATGTGATAAGGCTCTTGCTTTGATGTTTTAATGCAAGGGTCGATTAACTGGTAACATCTAACCTGGAGAGTGACAAAGCTAACTTTTATTAAAGCTTGTGATTTTGTAACATGAAGCTCAAACAGGGGCGACATATAATAAGATATTTTTCTTATTTTTAATATTAGTTTAATTATGTTAAAACCATTAATAATTATTCTCACACCAATTAACTTAACCTGTAAAACTTGAAAAGAAGGTGTGCATCTTTTGGCACCCAAGTCTTTTGGCGTTTAAGCCTGCGTTATGCGGTAAAAAAAGGACTGGTCACCCTTTTCCATGCTTTCTTCTTATGTTGGGCACCTTCTTCGAGTCTAGGCCGGCTTACGCCCTGCCTTTTTCACCTTTTAGAATACTAAGGGCCTGTTTGATTCAAGTTATTTTCCATGGATTTCCATGTTCTAAGGTTTTTGTTGTTTGACGGCAAAAAATTTCTAGGCAAAATCTTTTCCACCCAACCCCCCACGTGACCCCTTTTCCATGTTTTAAATAGTGATGGTAAAAAAATCCGTCCCGGCGCTGCCCCGCCCCGAAGCGCCCCCAACCCGCCCCGTGAAGAATAAAAAAAATAATTAACTACAAATTAAAAATAAAAAATAGTTAATTGGAAGTTTTTGAAAAAATAAATGAATAAACGGGGTAGGAAACGGGGCAATCGTGCCCTGAACCCGCCCTGTCCCGTCTAAGATGGGGCGCGAGGCTGGACGGGGTGGGGGAGTGGCAGGGTGGGGTGGGGT